TAAAAAATATTTTTGTATTACTTCGACTTTGTCCATATACACATTTGAGGCTCCACCCCATCCTAATATTCCATACGTTATTCTAGAATGAACTAAAGCGTAGTACAACATTTTTAGGTAAGGTAATTCTAGTATTTTGGAAAGATATTTAAACTTAAATAATAGGGTTCTTAGTATATTTACAATGTTATTTATATTATGATTCCAACGCAAATCAATAATTATTCCTAAATATTTCGTTTTATTTTATAGTTAAAGGCACCTGATTATTGCTGATGATTACTAAGTTGTTATATTCCGGTAGATTATTTTCATAGCTAACTATTGGTAAAAAGAATGTTTTAGAGAAATTAATTGTTAAGAGTTTATGATTAAACCAGTCGAATATGTATTTTAAATCATTTTCAACAATTACTTTTAATTCTTCCCAACTATCAGCAGAATAGAAAATAACCGTGTCATCAGCAAAACTAATTATCCGACCCTGATGATTTATTAATAGTAAGTTATTGATATATAAATTAAATAAAATAGGACCAAGTACTGTACCTTGTGGTACACCGCATTTTATTTGTTGGTAAGTGCTATTCGTATTATCTATTCTTACACTTTGTTGTCTATTAAACAAATAACTTTTAAACAAATTGTAAGCATTGCCTCTTATTCCTGCATCTTGCAGGGCTTCCAATAACTGTTGGTGATCAACAGTGTCGAAAGCCTTTGCAAGATCCAGAAACACTGCCAGAGATGGTTTACTTTTATCCAGAGCTAAATACATTTCTTTCGTTAGTTCGGCAATAGCATCCTCCGTAGATTTACTTTTTTGAAATCCAAATTGTTTCGGTGAAATTGTATTGTTTTTATCAAAAAATGATTCTAATCGTGACTTAATTATTTTTTCAAATATTTTTGTTAAGTCGTAGTTATCGATATGGGTCTATAATTTGATGGTGTGCATTTGTCACCGTTTTTATGTAACGGTTTAATTGTTGCAATTTTAAATTGATTTGGACAAATGCCTTTTTCGATAGATAGGTTAATTAAGTAAGTTAGCGGGGATACTATTTCCGAATCAATTTGTTTAATTGTTTCTGCGGTTAGGTCGTCAATACCTGGTGCTTTTTTATTTTTTTTTTTTAATTATTTCTAATATTTCCTTTTCATTTGAAGGATTCAAGAATATTGAATTTGAACATACAAATTTCATTGGACGAAGCGTATTTGGCAAGATTATTTGACTAGCTAAATTAATTCCTACATTGGAAAAAAAACGTATTAAATATTTCTGCTATTTCAGATTTATCACTGGTTTTTTCATTATTTTGATTATATAACGCTTTAAATTCTTGTTTTTTGGGGTTTTTGCCACATATTTTGTTTATAGTTTTCCATAAATTACTGGGATTATCTTTATTATCTTTTATCATTTTTTTGTGAAATTCTATTTTTGATTTTTTAATTATTGTACCTAATTTATTTCTATAATTAATAAATGTTTGTTTTGATTGTTCATATTTATTTTTTTGATAGGTTTTGTAGAGTTTATCTCTATGTAGGATTGAAGTTATTATTCCCGAAGTAATCCAATTTTTTTTCTTATTTGTTTTTTTGTTTATCTTTAATCGAGTTGTATGTGTTTTTAGGAGATCTGTTATATGAGTAAGAAAATAATCCCATGCTTGTTGAACTTCAGTTATACAATACAATCCGGCCCAATTAAAATGTATTAAATTATTTTTTAAATTTTTGTAATTAATCACATCTCTATAATTATCATTTTTTGTTTCCGTGTTTGAAGTTAATGGCATCAAAAACTTTAGTATACAACTGCGATGGTCATTGATATTACTGTCTAAAACGTAAGCTTCACAGATTTCTTCTAAATTTCGATTTTTGACCTTTACAAATGCATGATCTATACATGTTTTGGATGGCACCCTTGTATATTTATTTATCGTTGAAGTAAAACCATATTCACTCAACATATTTAAGTATTCCGTTGTTACTCTGTCTTGTGAAAAAATATTAATGTTTATATCGCCTATAATGATATTTAAGTCGTAATTATCGTTTGATGTTTCTAAAAAGTCGTACAGTTCCCTAACAAAATTTTCTTCATTTGGGGATGGAGATCTATAAATGCATAAGATTAGCATTTTATACTTATCATTGATAACTTCAATAACTATTACCGTACTCTGATCAATTTGTTTTATTTCAAAATTGTACATAATAGATTCTTTTAAATAGACAATAGTGCCATCCGATTTATTAAAATCAGCATTATTGTAAATCATATTGTAACCTTCTTTAGCATACAAGTTTATATCAAATTTGTTCCAAGTTTCAGTTAAAATCAAAATATCGAAAGATTGTTTAAATAATTGTAGGTATGCTTCAAAATGATCCATATTACAATTTAACTATGATTCTTTTTTTGTTTGAAAGAGGATTCCTCAGTGGTAGTTTCGTATACAATTGATCAGGATCTGAAGATCAATGCGAAAATCAAAAATTTCAATTTTCGAGGGCATCTGCACAATTTTGAAGTCCGTTTTTTAATAAAAAATTATTTTAAAATATATTCCTTATTATGTATTATGTATCTTCATTAATGTTTTTCTTATTTCTCATATGTTCGAGCAGCTGTGTGAGCCCGAGCCTTATCTTGATGTAAGATGAGCTTTCCTCTTAGACGTTTTTCGCGAGCCTTTTGGAGAACCTGAGGCAAACAAACTGTAATGTACCATTTCTGAATTAACAGTACGTCTATTCTCCAGATCTACATGCCCAGTAATTAAAAAAAAGTGGCGATCATCTATTTGTTTTAGCTGTATTCAAGAACAACTTTTGAAGGGAGGGGAGGTCAAGAGGGATTGGAGGAGGTTGAGGCGGGTGGGGTGGGGTGGGATTGGATGGGTTGAGGGGGTTTAAAATATTTAACAAAACTCAAAAACGAAAAAAAACTTGAACTTTTTAGTAAAATTTAAGTTCTACAAGGGAATAACGCCTATTGATTCTGATTAAAAATGGGGGATAAGAGGGGTTGAAATTAGGCGATTATCAATATAAATAATAGATATATTATTTAAAATAATCGATGTATCGAAAATAATCGATTAATCGAAAATAATCGATTAATCGAACATAATCGATTAATCGAAAATAATCGATTCATCGAAAATAATCGATTATTCGAAAATAATCGATTATTCGAAAATAATCGATTAATCTAAAATAATCGATTTATCGAAAATAATCGACTGATTGAAAATAATGAATTATTCGAAATTAATCCAATAATCGATTAATCGAAAATAATTGGTTAATCGAAAATAATCGAGTGATCGATTATGGATTAAAAAAAAAAATAATCGATTAATCGAATATTTTGCCCACTCCCCTAGTTGAAATATTGAAAAAATATCTTAATAAAATCCTAATAAAATTCAGACACAAAAAACGATATCATCTTAAAATTTTTAGCAAAAATAAAGCCCTATATGGAGACAAAGACTATGATTTAAAAAAATTGGTGATTAAAATAGATCGTTAACCCGTAAGGAGGGTTAAAATAAGAAAAAATAAAAAATTAAACACCAAAAGCGATATCAACATGAAATTTTCAGGAAAAATCAAGTTTTTTAAGGGAATGATGTCTGTTGATTCTGAAAAAAAAATATGAATAAAAATGAGAAGTTAAGGGGGTCTGTTAAACTGTGAGTATAATATAAAATTCCAAGCATTATATCTTCATTCTAGTTATTATTTGCCGTGGCGCTCCGGAGTGACTTAAAGATTACTGATGGAGCCATTTGAATAGGTGATGAAACCCCGAAAAACCTCACCCACCATCATACTGTACAACTTATTTTGTCCATTTCTTGTCCACATATAAGAAAAAGAAAGTGAAAGCGATATCTGAAACTCAGATGTTTCTATTTTTATTTAAAATAAATTTGTTCTGATTAAATTATATTTCGGATTTCAAAATTTAAGATTTGGTTTATTTGAAGTCTAAAAAGTAAACAGCCCAGGCCTCAGATGGGCCCGGCAGCTTTAAAAAAATAGATAACAATATGTGGGGGGTGGGTACTTACCAGTGTTTTGCCCCGGGGCCCCAGCATGGCTCTCGACGGCCCTGGCTCTCATTAAAATAGTAAAATATATAATATTCTACAGAGATATTTCAAGAATATGGAATGAAATGATTCTAGGCATATTAGTAAATACATATGCCTGGAACATCTCTATTAAAATTAAATTATAAAAAAGTTAAAACGTTTCCATGAAAAATTTCCCGAAAAAAAGTTGATAATTTGTGTCTTTATCAAAGCTAAAATATTAATTGGATTTTTCGCATGGACTAGAGACTAGACGAATTAAAATTATGATAAATACGAATAACTGGCATGGGCAACTTTGTAAATTTGACTTTTTTGTATTTTAATTCATGTCCATCAAGTTTTGAAATTTTTGATATTAATTTTTTTACCCAAATACCCTAAATTATTATGTGGAAATGTTAGCTCATTCACCAATATATTAAGAAAATTATCAGAATATTTCGTGAGTTCCTAAAAATTTCCTGAAATAATTTAGGCACTATTGATATGATAAATGAATATTTTATTAATATTGCAATATATTTGGGCAAATAGGCAGATTGAGAGCATATGCCAGGTATATGGGGTGCTGTCTGAGTCAAATTTGCATGCACGTATTAAATATTTTATGAAGATGGGTGAGGCAAACTATACTGTTCTGTTATACAATACTTTTTCGTATTTAATTGTCTACATATTTGGTTTGAAAAGATATATGAACATTTTAGTTAATAAATATTGTAAAACCAGGATATAATTACCCCCCACCCACTTTATCTTGATAATATAAATCTAATTCTTAGATTCTTTCGGATTGCCAAATTTCAACTAGTACGTTTAAAATAAATTTATGGATAAGAAAGAAGTAAATCGATCAAGACAATTGTCACTCACCGTGTATAAGAACTGCCTCCAACTTCGAAAACGAATGGATCTTGATTTTTGCGGGCATTTTTCAAAAAATTAAGGACTACTAGATCCATCCCTCTAAATAGGGGATGGCTTAGCGGCAAAAACTCTTTGTGGTTTTTGTGATTTTAAAAAAAATCCGCGTCTAAGGAGCGAAACTAAAATTACCCTTTGAAAGTCTTGCAGTTACTAAAAGATTTTTCGAGAAAATCGATATACACCGAGCAGCTGGTCGTCCTTCGGTCGCGCATGGAAATCGGGGAAAATTGGTCAGTGGAAAACTACTGGATGGGCCGGATGCGTTTTGCTAGAGGGATGCACTGTATTGTAGCCTCGGATACGTGAAAATAAGGAGGAAATAACTTTCCTAGGAAGTATAGCAACTCGAGGATGAACAATAGATACCGAAATTAGGCATTACGTTAAAAAGGGAAATAATGATGTACAATTTTGGGTAATAATTTTATTTTAATAACTAAAAACAGTTGAGAACACATAATAGCTATTTATGTAACCAGTTCCGAAATGCCTTATTTTTGTGTAACCAGTAAATATTTACGGGACGAATGGAGCGAGGTTCCCTAAAATGAACGAGTTACACAAAACGGTAACCAATAGAAACCATAGCAAACTACTTTATTCGGGAGGCAATATATAACAAGACCTATTTTATAAGCGAATAAATTTATCAATTTTTCCGAAAATAGTTTTGTTTGAAACTGCATATATTTTTATTTATTAATAGTACAATTATTAAAAAACACAATTGATTACTATAAAAAGTCAAAATAATAAATTTCATTTTGACACTTATTGTATATTAAGTATTTACGTATAATATGTTGCCTATATTCAAGGAACTCGCAACGAGGACATTCGTTTTTTAATTTTTCATAATCATTAAGCAATCGATTAAATAATCGTTATGTAATGATAATGAGTATTTCTTTTCACATAATTATCGTATATATTTCTAAGTTTTAATCCCTTGGTACATAATATACTATTACTTACACTAGGAGCTTTAAAAAGACTTTGAATTGATTTCTCCTTGTGTCTTCTTTAGTTTTACATCTGATTTAGGTACATCCCATTTTAATAAAAATAATAATACTCTCCCTTATTCACCTTCTGATGAGTGAATTTTAACCTCAAAAGCTGAGCTTGTCCGGGGAAAGAGACGGTTATTATTATTATTTGCCGTGGCGCTCCGGGGCGACTTAAAGATTAATGGTGCCATTTCACTTACAGGTGAGGAAAACCCGGAAAACCATACCCACCCATTTTATAACCTGGAACGAAGTAAATCTTGCTTTGATGTTTTTTGTCACTCATGTTACTTGTAGTCAGGTACTTTTTTTTTACATTATTTTGATTACTTTCACCAATTTTTTAAAAAACAATATTTCATATTGACTTACATATAAAATTGACGTACCTAACGTCCATTGTCGATTCGCCTCCTTCTCTCTAGTATTTATAGTCAAGGCAAAAAAGCGACGTTTCATTTTTTGCAGTCAGCTGATGGACTATGAGTCGTATTGAGATCCTACTTGATTGATTTTATCTTATTTTTCTTTCCAAGATGCAGGCATTATTCTGGGACTGGTTCCCCTTTGGACCAATTTATTTATCTCTTTCCACTGAATACCTTCCTCTCTAATAGCATTTTTAACCTTTTCTTGTTATTTTTCTTGGCCTACACTCCTAATTCATAGAACCTCTGTGTTAACCTTTCTTTTGGCATTAATTATGCTTAAATGCGCCCCAAATCATCCTAAATATACCCCCTGGATTTTCTTTAACGCCTTTATTTATTTCGTTCACGATTTTATTTTCAGGTCCTTTTATATATTTGCGTTTTATAATTCTTGAAAGTGAAATTTTATATTTTCTTTGAAAACTGCTGCCTCTTCAATCAAACATCAGCTATTTAATTTAAAACTGTTAGCGTCCGTCTTGTGTATAATATAATACTGCAGTTAAAAGTGTTTACTCACCCTATATTCAGCCACCTGTAAACCACGGTTTTCAAGGCGACACCATATATCGACCCAACAAAACATGTCAAAACATTTTTGTGTTTAAGTATGTCACTTCGAAGTGAACGCTAATTTTAATAAAATCTAATAAAAACAAGAACCTACAAAATACAAACTGTATGAAAAACAGATAAAAATAGAAACAAAACATGTCCGATACAGACGAAAATATTGAAAACCTTCCGTTAGAAGGGGGCGATCAATCGGAACCAACCGAAAAAGAGAAAATAATAGAAGAAAAGGAGCACGATTCTGGTGGCGAGGAACAGGTTAAAAAAGAAGTAACTGCCGCTCCAGCATCAACTGTAGAAGAAGCAACAGTGAAAGGAGATATAGAAGTGGAACCTGGAGAGAAAGAACAAGTGAAGGGACAAGAAGAGGTTATAGAAGTTACAGAGGGAGTAGTGGATAAAGGTAAGAAAGGTATATAAAGAAGCCACACTTTGGCTAGTATAGAATCGTGATTTAGGTTTTAGTGATTTCCCTAAATCATATTTCCCACTTTGTTTCGGAAATGCTTCGTAATAAAGTTGGAAATTTAAAAATTGGCGATTCTTATTGGGAACACAACCTGCTACAAGGGTCCCACACGCCAAAAACACTAGGAAATTAGCAAGCTAGGTTAGTCATTGTAATCAAGGCAGACCACCTTGAAAATAAAAATAGCTTCTATAGCAGGATATCAGGAAAATAAATTAAGCGTAAACAAAAACTTTAAAAGGAAGAAAATATAAAAAAAATGGTTAGTATCTATTACCGAGTTTATAAATTGATTTTGGGTGTTTTTTTTTGTATCTTATGTATTGTGTCTGATTATCAGAAGTGCTAAGTGTAAATGTATTAATAAAAATTACTTTCAGCTTACCAAAGTTTCGGTTAGATACCCTTAAGCAGCTTCTGTCTAGAATTCAAAATCTGAATTTTTTCTAACCAGAAATTTAAAATATATATCTATTTACAGTAGAAGAAATTGCTATAGAGGATGTAGAAACAGATAAACGAGAGGATGATGCGGAGGAGGCAGTTGAACGTGAAGGTGAGGAAGGCGAAGAAGGCGAAGAAGAAAAGAAAGACGAAGAGGAAGGTGAAGAATCATCGGAAGAAGAAGAAGGCGAAGAGGGCATAGAGGGCGACGATGAGGGTGGTGAGGGCGAAGGAAGCTCGGAAGAAGAGGAAGAAGAGGAAGAGATTGTGGAAGTAGTGGAAGATAAAGAAAAGGTATATTTTTATGATCTCAATTTGGTTGTAATTAAAATTATTTTTTATTAACATTAAACCATATTTAATTTGTTTTTTAATAATAATTTTATGCTTAATTCGCATGGGGTGGGTGGCTCAGTGGTAGAGTCTCTGCCTTTGGATCCAAGGGTTCCAGGTTCGAATCCCACCGTTGGCAGGAATTTTTTCATTTAATTTAATTATTTAAAATTGTTTCTGATGCCTTGGCAGGATTCCCCACTCGACCATTCACTGTTGGGTTCTAATTAACAGTGCTGTTCCTAAAGTGGCAATGGGAAACAGTAACAAAGCCTACACAGAACACGAGGCGAAATAACCTTAGCAGTTGAAGCCGATGACACACAAAAAAAAATTATTTGCAAACATTTTTTGATTACTGAAAATTAAAGATAAAATAATACTTTATTTAAAATAAAATGCAAATATTGTAGTAAAATGTAATTTTTTAATGTATATTTATGCAAAGGGTAACATAGCATAAAATGAAAAAGTATTTGCCAAATTTATTTACGACCGTAGGTTTAAAAATTCGTCAATTATAATATTGACTAGGAAAATAAAATAAAAGGACTTGGCAAAAAAAAATATCCGGTACTAAATCACTTTCGTGTACAACATGCTATTTTAAACGGATGCGGTGTTACCAAATTAAGAATAATATTAGTTTTTTTTTATTAATTTAAGGGTACCTACATTTAAAAAATTTGAATAGCTTCTAGCACTTCGTTAAAAAATAATTTAGAGAGAAATAATACTATGTGAAAATCCTAAAAGACCGTCATAACAAATAACTAGGTTGCGGTAGGTAACTTAAGACAATTTAGAGTATTTTTCGACAAAAATATTCTCTATTACACAGTATCTTGAGAATGTATTACTTTGGAATATGTCAAACTAACGGTTAAGACACAATTTTAAAACTAGAATCGGCGGTTTTTAGTTTTTTTTTTAAATAACTTAAAACTACATAACCAATCATTTTGAGAACAATTTATTATGAGTTTTAGGGGGAAAAAGGAAAATTGGCAAAGGACGAAAAACCGCCGTTATCTTCATCAGAGGAAGATGTCGAAGAGATATCCGAAGAAGATTTAGAACCAGAACCCGAGCAATGGGATCCCGATCAACTCCTTTCAGGACCTTCTTTAAGTGTTGACAGCACTATGCCCATTGATATTATGGATTTTTAGTATCCTTTAAGTAGTCTAGTTCACTGATCACTAAAAAGTCTCTCTTAGTTTTTGATTATCATGAAATATCGATAATTATCCATAAATAAATATTGATAACTATCAATAAATATCGTTAGATATCGTTAAATATCGATAAATATGGGTAAATATGGATAAATAGCGATAAATAGCGATAACTATCGATAATTATCGATAAACATCGAGAAATATCGATTAACATTAAGAAATATCGAGAAATTTTAAGAACAATAAAAAAATATCGAGAAATATAGAGAAATATCAAGAAAAATCGAGAAAAATCGAGAAAAATCGAGAAAAATTGAGAAAAATCGAGAAATATCGAGAAATATTGAGAAATATCAAGAAATATAGAGAAATATCGAGAAATATCAAGAAATATCGAGAAATATCGAGAAATATCGAGAAATATCGAGAAATATCGAGAAATATCGAGAAATATCGAGAAATATCGAGAAATATCGAGAAATATCGAGAAATATCGAGAAATATCGAGAAATATCGAGAAATATCGAGAAATATCGAGAAATATCGAGAAATATCGAGAAATATCGAGAAATATCGAGAAATATCGAGAAATATCGAGAAATATCGAGAAATACCGAGGAATGTTGAAAAATGTCGAAAAATGTCGAAAAATGACAATAAATATCGACAATAATCGAGAAATATCATGAATAACCAATAATAATCGAGAAATATCGAGAAACATCGAGAAATATCGAGAAATATCGAGAAATATCGAGAAATATCGAGAAATATCGAGAAATATCGAGAAATATCGAGAAATATCGAGAAATATCGAGAAATATCGAGAAATATCGAGAAATATCGAGAAATATCGAGAAATATCGAGAAATATCGAGAAATATCGAGAAATATCGAGAAATATCGAGAAATATCGAGAAATATCGAGAAATATCGAGAAAAGTCCAAAAATTTCGAAAAATGTCGACAATAATCGATAAATATCGTGAATAAACGACAATAATCGAGAAATATCGAGAAATGCCGAGAAATGTCGAGAAACGTCGAGAAATATCGAGAAATATCGAGAAATATCGAGAAATCTCGAGAAATCTCGAGAAATGTCAAGAAATGTCAAAAATGTCGAGAAATGTCGAGAAATGTCGAGAAATGTCGAGAAATGTCGAGAAATGTCGAGAAATGTCGAGAAATGTCGAGAAATGTCGAGAAATGTCGAGAAATATTAAGAAAAATCACGAAACATCGAGAATTATCGATATATATCGACAAATATTTACAAATATTTACAAATATTTACAAATATTTACAAATATTTACAAATATTTACAAATATTTACAAATATTTACAAATATTTACAAATATTTACAAATATTTACAAATATTTACAAATATTTACAAATATTTACAAATATTTACAAATATTTACAAATATTTACAAATATTTACAAATATTTACAAATATTTACAAATATTTACAAATATTTACAAATATTTACAAATATTTACAAATATTTACAAATATTTACAAATATTTACAAATATTTACAAATATTTACAAATATTTACAAATATTTACAAATATTTACAAATATTTACAAATATTTACAAATATTTACAAATATTTACAAATATTTACCAATATTTACAAATATTTACAAATATTTACAAATATTTACAAATATTTACAAATATTTACAAATATTTACAAATATTTACAAATATTTACAAATATTTACAAATATTTACAAATATTTACAAATATTTACAAATATTTACAAATATTTACAAATATTTACAAATATTTACAAATATTTACAAATATTTACAAATATTATAAATATTTACAAATATTTACAAATATTTACAAATATTTACAAATATTTACAAATATTTACAAATATTTACAAATATTTACAAATATTTACAAATATTTACAAATATTTACAAATATTTACAAATATTTACAAATATTTACAAATATTTACAAATATTTACAAATATTTACAAATATTTACAAATATTTACAAATATTTACAAATATTTACAAATATTTACAAATATTTACAAATATTTACAAATATTTACAAATATTTACAAATATTTACAAATATTTACAAATATTTACAAATATTTACAAATATTTACAAATATTTACAAATATTTACAAATATTTACAAATATTTACAAATATTTACAAATATTTACAAATATTTACAAATATTTACAAATATTTACAAATATTTACAAATATTTACAAATATTTACAAATATTTACAAATATTTACAAATATTTACAAATATTTACAAATATTTACAAATATTTACAAATATTTACAAATATTTACAAATATTTACAAATATTTACAAATATTTACAAATATTTACAAATATTTACAAATATTTACAAATATTTACAAATATTTACAAATATTTACAAATATTTACAAATATTTACAAATATTTACAAATATTTACAAATATTTACAAATATTTACAAATATTTACAAATATTTACAAATATTTACAAATATTTACAAATATTTACAAATATTTACAAATATTTACAAATATTTACAAATATTTACAAATATTTACAAATATTTACAAATATTTACAAATATTTACAAATATTTACAAATATTTACAAATATTTACAAATATTTACAAATATTTACAAATATTTACAAATATTTACAAATATTTACAAATATTTACAAATATTTACAAATATTTACAAATATTTACAAATATTTACAAATATTTACAAATATTGATAAATATCGATATGTTACGGTAGTACTTACAGCCGTATGCATAGTCGATCGCCAGCGACTCGCCAGAGATTCATTTCGGCGTATCGCCAGCGATTCGCAAGTTTTTATTTTCTTTTATAGGTATTATCACCGGTATTTCTCGCATTTTATTCATGATTCATTTCTTAAAACTCAAAAAATAATGAACGAATGTCAAATTTTTCCCTATAAAAGAACATGAAAACTTGCGTGAAATGACATTCCGGTGACAATCTCCGGCGAGTCGCCAGCTTTTTGGGCTTACGCCGGCGGATCGCTAGCGAATCGCTGGCGATACGCCGAAATGAATCTCTGGCGAGTCGCTGGCGATCGACTATGCATACGGCTGTTAGTTTTCCCTTCTTACTGCAACTATTCATTTATTTCTTTGATTTATTTTCCATTTTGCTACTTAACATTTTTACAATTTATAAAATTTACACTGTTTTTATAGCAATTTTAAACTGATTTAAATATAAAAAATTTCTGACTTTGCACTGAGCGAATATCGTGATTTCTTATTATTTTTTTTTTATTTAAGAATGAGTGGCAAAAAAGGTTGCGTTGCGCCACTGGTGCTAACGTTGCTAAGCAACGTAGCTGGACAAGTCAAATTTTGGTTTATACGCATGTCGTCCGCTGTTTTTTTATTTTATAAAACGAACGTTACTAGATTTTTAAATTATTGTTCCTTAACAGCTTACTCAGCCACTGTTTTGGATTCAACTGCAGAAAAAGATTCAATTTGGAAGTACTGGATGATGATACGATAGTTTTTGCTTCGGGAAATTATTTGAACTTTTTCAGTTTGTCAACTAGAGAAATAAAGTTTAGAAGATCGGCTCTTGGTGGGGGTATAGGACATATAAAGGTATGATTTATTGGGGAAAAAACGTCATTTTAATTTAATTAATGGTCCTCATATAACAGAAATAGGTAGTTAGTTTTGTCATAAATATTTTTGCTAAAGAGCTAAGTACTTTGACAATTTAAAGCCTTGGATGTTTAAACTAGATTTGGTTAGGGCTGTGAGCCATATAGCCTTTCCCAGCTCGACCCTTTCAGATTCTTTGATCGTTAATAGGACTACTTCTCCAGTATTTTTCCCATTCTGACTTTAGGTTCTCGGACAGTTTTGATGATGATTCTTTTATCAACACTAGTGAATTATTCTACCATTGCTGAGATTTGTTTAACATCCACAGCTTTGTGCATGTTTTCATAACTTTCATTATGGCACCAAAAAAGGGATCTGGGCCAAAAAAAGCTCTTTGTTGGGCTAGTAAATCAGCGTCTTCATTGCCTTTTTGTCCTATGTTGCCTGGTACCTTTGGATGTTTGCTTTTCTAAAAATAATTATTTTTTAATAAATATTTATAGGATGATCAATAAAATATTGTATTCTATAAAAATAATCTTTTTTGTTTATAGAAAAATCCAAATCCCATCCACAATCATTTTTCTGTAGCTGAATGTGGAAAAAAACCGTTTATAATTTTGTATAAATGGCCTGGCTTGGCCGTTGAATGTGTCCTAAAAGGTGGTGCTAAAAGGTTGTACTCCAATTTGGACTATAGGTACGTTTTCCTCAAAACCATGTTAAAAGTAATAACATTCACAATTTAAGCCACTGAATTTATTCATTTTTAGTCCTGATGGAGAATTTCTGGTATCTCAAAGTGGGGAACCTGACTATATGCTAACTGTATGGGCTTGGAAACAACATACAATATTACTAAGAAACAAATCATATATCAACGATGTATATAAAGTAATGTTTTCTCCATATCTAGCAGGACAAATAACGACATGTGGTAAGTGCAACTTACAACTGGCATATATTTGTAATTTGCATGAAATATTTTTCCTGTAGTCAAAATAAAGTTGGACCCTACTATCTTTTCTCTTTCAAACACAAATGGTATAAAGTGAACCATTTCTTTGCTTAGAGTGGTTAATGTCAAACTTAATAAAGTTTATTGATTTTAGGTGTCGCACATATTAAATTTTGGAAGATGGCGCACACTTTTACAGGTCTAAAGCTACAAGGAGAACTCGGAAGATTCGGCAAAACTGAATATTCTGACATCCTGGGGGTACTTCCTATGCCTGACGAAAAAGTAAGCACCTCTTAGCAATTTTCGTTTTCCTAGGTCTATCTACCTATTGACTTCAGTAGAGCTTAGTCTTATCGGCAGCAAACGCACTAATTAAATGCACCATATATATAAGAATATATTACATTTCTTTAAAATTACAAAATACATATTCCTGCTTAACCCAGAAGAACGGAACATGTGATACCGAAGACTATTCTTTTTTTTTTGGTTTCAGGTCATTTCAGGCTGCGATTGGGGCAACATACTGATCTGGGACGGTGGTTTGATAGTTTTGGAAGTGTTGAGGACGGGAAGAAGAAAGTGCCACGATGCACCGATCGTGCAGTTATTTTTCGAAGAAGAAGAACTGTGGACGATATCTTTGGACGGTCACGTTAAAATCTGGTGGTACGAAAAAATTGATTCTGCAGACCCACCTGACGACGATCCAGTTATACTTCTTGATCCTTCGTACGATTTTTATACGCCAGGAATGTCTTTGGTGTCGGTGGTGAAGAGAAGGGAGGATGAAAGTTTGTTTATAGCTCAGGTTAGAATCTTATTATTATGAATTCATAATAAGATCTACAGTTTATTTGTTACAAACAATAGAAAGAGAATAGTTATAAAGTTAAATTGTTTTAATAGGAAATATATTCTCCCTTGGCTTTTATTATTTTTTTAACACGATTGTGCATAAAGTTTTTTACAATTTTTTGAGATAGTGGTATCGAAACCATATTTTGATTACAGCTTCAATTAGTTTTGTTTTTGTTGTATTATCTAACGCCCATAGGTTTTCGATAGAATTAATATATTGGTTACAAACGACCAAAGACCCATTATTTAGAATCATCTACGATTTTATTTTATTTTTCCGGAAACCATGTCAATGATTTCAGGATGGCAACGGGGGTATTTGGCAGATAGACCTCAACACTTTGGACACTCCCACGAAGTCCATACAGTACTACAAGTGCCACGCTGGGAAGCTGCGCGATATCGCGCCCTGCTCATTTGGACCGTACCTGGCTAGCTTCGGAAAGGACGGTCAGATATTCGTTTACAATTATTTGACGAAGAAATTCTTGTACAATTACCAATTTCCATCTCCTGGTCGCAAGATGATTTGGCCTTCAACTACGGTATGAAAAACCATATATTGTTACTCAAAGTGCAGTATGTCTAAAAACTGTTTTTCAGGAGAGCAAAAAGCTGATTTTTTTCTTTATGAGTTGATCTTATAATTATATGACTTTTCGTTTGGTTGGATCAGCTGATTTAAGATATTTTGCCACTAGATAGGATGAAATGACTGGCTGGCTCACTCTTTGTTACATAACCTCAAACTTCGTTGCATCAAGTTCCCGTGTTCGCTTGTGAGGGAGACTTTAAAGGAGCCTTTGAAGACTCGAAGACGAAGAAGTGACGTAGAACACTGGAAGACGTTGAAGAAGTCTTTTGAGACTTGAAAACTTAAAGACGAAGATTATGAGCCGAAGAAGTGACGTAGGACCATGGAAGACGTTGAAGAGGACTCTAAAGACTCGAAGACGAAAAAGAGAAGCCGAAGGAATGACATAGGAGCAGGACAAACGTTGAAGGAATCTCTGGAGACTCAAAAAGAAGCCTCTGGAGACTCAAAGACGAACTAGAGGAACCGAATGAGTGACGTAAGAATTTGAAATAATAGTCTCATATCTTTGTAAGGTGAATTGATAACAGATAAGCAATGTCAAAACAACGCCGGTAAAACACCGGATGCTGATAAGAGTTTGAGGTTATGTAACAAATGTTATTCAGCAGCCCCATATTTCATCTACTCAACAGATGGAAATCACAAAATGCCACATGTGGCAATACAAAAAATGAATTTTCGACATACGACCTTTTGCACTTTGAGTGACGATATCAGACATACAAAATTTGTCACTTCTACGTAATATTCTGGTCGTGTCTTATTGTTTTAGATAATACCCTCTGGTGATATAATAATCGCCGGTTTTATGGACTCACAACTTAGAGTGTGCACTTTGAAAATACCGTCAAAACCTGGAGAGAGTGAAAATAATATCTGTTTGACAACTACACAGGTAACAAGTAGAAATAATTTAAAATAGTACCTAGTTTGTGCAACAAGAGTGGATATGATGGCCATATCGCACCACGCACGAGGACGAAATTTGAGGACGACGCCGTAGGCGGAGTGCTCAATCTCTTGAGTGCAATATGGAGTATTTTTACTACAACCCACTAACAAAAATTTACAAATTAAATAAACATTTTAGGTTATTAAGACAAATACACTAATTTTAATAGTAGTTTGTGCAACAAGAGTAGATATGGACAATCCACTCGAGCTGTACAGTATATTTTTTCTACGACCCTCTAACGAAAGTCTGAAAAATAAAAAAATAACTAATTTTAAAAGAATTTATGAATTTCATTGATTTTTAAAATAAAATAAACATATAAAAAAAGATTTTATTTAATTAGTCCCCGCCGAGATTCGATCGCGGGCTATTCACGTGGAAGGCAAGCGCTCTGTCCACGCGTCTCCGGCCACTTAAGTTTCACATAGTTCGATTAAAATTTAATTTTTTTTTCAAAATATGGACCAAATAAAAATGCTAGTATTTAGCGATTCTACACAAAAATAACTTATTTTAATGTGTATTTAATCTTAATCTTAATAAAAATATAGTGGCCATTAGTTTGACAGAATTGTCACTTATTTGAAATTTTAAATTATAGTAGTTGGATGTCCAAAATATGACCTACGATTGGTGGATTTAATTTGTTTGCAGTGTTCTCACTACCTAAAATGGATATGAAATATATTCATTCAGTTAAACGCAATATCATATTTTTTTGTAGTCTGTGTAGATAAGCTAATATTTATGTGGTTGTAGCAAAAATAATTTTAAAATAGACCTAGAGCATAATAGTCACTTATCTGTTTATACACATAAACTGAAAGATGGTAGGAAGGTAAAAAGACTAGATGTCAAACTGGTAAAAATTAACAGTAGTTTGTGCAACAAGAGTGGATATGATGGACATATCGCACGAAGACGAAGTTTGAGCGCGACGCCATAGGCGGAGTGCGATAAGGACAATCCCCTCGAGTTGTACAGTATATTTCTTACCAAAATCTACAAAATTTTAAGAATTAATTTAGAGGTTATTTTGAAAGAATGATTTATGACTTTAACCAATTTATAAAATAAAGTAGACTTTTTAATTAGTCTTCATTCTGGATTTGAACCTCGGACATAGGTGCCAGTAGAATATTTTTGGAATAAAGGTACCTGACCACTGTTCATTTGTTGTGCAAATTAGACCCAAATTATCTTTCAAATGTTCAAAAATTTGATCTCCTACAGCAACAACTACAATTTCATCATCCTGGTGAATAGTTTCTTCAGCAATAGGTTCTAGTATTTTCTTCCTTTTTTATATTCTAACAAATTCAGTTCGGTTCAATGGTGGTTTTCGTCTTTTCCTAATACTGGACAAGTATGAAGGGAGATTCGGGAATATACATGGTATTGCTTCGTTCTTTAATCTCGGCCTTTCCCTTTTTATTTTGTTAACAGTGCCTTTAGTTAAAATAGTTAAAATATTATCTTCTAAAAAGTGTAGCTCGCAAACAGAATCATAACTAGACAGTACTTTATCAGCCCTAGGAATCACATGCTGCCATTGTTCTAAACGTTTAGGATCCTATAAAAAATATTTGCAAGGACTAAATTGGATTTCAATAAAAAAAAATAACAGTAGTAACTCTTCATCTAACATCAAAAAACATAAAAAAAGCAAATTTTTTGCTAGTAATTTAAATTTAATGTGTAATTATTATTGTTTGTAAGTCAGGATTTATGACTTTATTATTTTTTTTTATAAAATTTTGTAATTAAATAAACTACACTCCGTTTGATACGGGTTGTGACTATTTTACAATAAATATACAGTGTGGAAACCACTTATGGAATAATATTCTTTATGCCATTATTTTAGAAAATTGTAAAAAATGCCGAGACACGTCAACTTTTGAATTGAGTTGTGCGTTATGTAAACATAAATTTAAATGTACAGGGTGATTCACGCAAGTATGCCATAGTCGGTGTTGTTTTTTTTTAATGAAACACCCTGTATATTTGCATATTTTTGAAATCCTCTTAATGAACCGATTCCAACAAACTGAATAATGTATGTATGCAAATATACAGGGTGTTTCATTAAAAAAAAACAACACCGACTATGGCATACTTGCGTGAATCACCCTGTACATTTAAATTTATGTTTACATAACGCACAACTCAATTCAAAAGTTGACATGTCTCGGCATTTTTTATAATTTTCTAAAATAATGACATAAAGAATTTTATTCCATAAGTGGTTTCCACACTGTATATTATTTAGAAATAAATACATTATTTTACTTACACTAGGAGTTTTAAAAAGATTTGGATTTTTATCTCCTTGTGATTTCTTTAATTTTATATCGGATTTATATCCCGTTTTTCAACCCGAAACGAAGCAAATCTTGCTTTGCCGGTTTTTGTTACTTATTGTTACTTGCAGTCGTTGCGTTTCCTATCTTTATGTCCCTTATCTCTGATCCAGCTGTATACAAGGCAATCAAAATTGGCCGGACTCTTTAAACAACAACATGTAGTATTGAACGATCATTTAGATATATTGTAAAAGTTTCGAATGGTTCTACAATGGGAAATGCTCGGTACATGCTCAGCGTTCATCGAAAGAGAGAACAAAAGGATCCTAAGTCCATCAATATAGTCATGAAAGAATTTGGACGACAGTCAAGACGAAGCAGGTTTTTGTTTCAAAAGTGATAAAAGAAATCGACTAAAATAAAAATAATTACTGTACACGTTGATTGACATTTACTTCTTATTGTTTTTAGTTAAATGAAGATTGCATTGTATATTGTTTGATAATATAAAAAATATATTTAAAAGTTACGTAAGATAATTATTTAATTTTACTGACCACCAATGTCTCTTTTTTTAAAAAGTCTAGTTAGACATAGTTTAAGAGCCAGGGGTGTACATGCACCGTCTTGCACTCCTTTGCGGCGCCTATGACCCCGGACCTTTTGCATGCGAACTCAGTACGTTATCTATGCACTATGGAGACTAACAATGTTCTTTTTAAGTATTAAATATTAAGTATTAAGTATCAGTATGATAATTATAGTCAAGAGAAAAAAGGAGTGAAGTAATTTAATTTGCAGAACGTAGTACAGGTTCAAAAGATAACCATTTTATTTATACCTTATCCTTCAATGCTTTTTTATAGTTAAAATAAAATTTTAATACATCTTATCGGCCTAATAAAAGATTTTTATCGCAAGGAAGGCGAAGATTGAGCACGAGCCGTAGGCACGACAATCTACTCGAGTTGTACAGTATATTTTGTCTACTACCCACTAACGAAAATCTAAAAATTTTAAAAATTATTCTAGGTTATTAAAATAAAATAACTAATTAAAAATAATTTATGACTTTTACTAATTATTAATACAAAATAAACTTGAAGAAAAAATAATATAATTATTAGTATACAACCATAGATTTGAAGCCAGGATCTCTCGCATGATAGACAAATGCACTAGTCTTAGTCTGGATTATGAAACGAAAAATAAACTATTATTGGAAAATAATAAACTATAAAATATAATTTAGGCTGTTTTCATCAATATAAATATGTAGATATTAATTTTGTGCTTTTTCAATATGGAAACGAATGTATTTATTTTCTTGAGATAAAAAACAATCTAATATATATTTTTAGGTCATAAAAACCCATTCGAAACCCGTAACCGCCATTGAGATCAACAAAACCGGACAAATTGTGGTTAGTGGTAGTGAAGATGCCACCATTTTTATATACAAAGTGAACAATAAAGTATTACACGAATTTCTAATTCCAATTGGATTTTTGGACGTTCCAGATATGGTGACGTACATGACATGGAATCCAAAAGAGGTAATAAGATGAACGACTTTATTTCAAAAAAATTAAATAAGCACAATACAAAAAAATTTATAAATTACACATGCCAACTGTGGTGAATTTTAGCCGAAGCTTTTCCAACTAAACCATAACAGGCAATAGATGAAAAAATATATATTAATTTCTAAAATAATAGTACATTAAAGCAATAAAAATTCGAGAGACGCTAAAATGGTGGTTCCCACCTTATCGATACTGAGGCCCACAAGGGTAAACCAAAAACGAGAAATGATTTAACTTGGAACGAAATATCGAAAACCGATAGTAGTATTAGCACGTTGAATTTTTTGGTTTGTGAAGCATTGGCATTATTTAAGTTAAACCATGTGATGATTCACAAGCCTTGATTTTTAAAACCATTCTATATCGCCTTTTGATTAGGTTTTAAAAACTTGTTCGAGCAATTTATCCAATAATAATTGGCCCCTTTACCTCTTAAGCCTGCTCATGTAAAATATTTGGGCTCCTTACTTCGCCTATTTATATTCTATTAATAAAGGACAGAAGGTTGAGTATTGCAACTATGTTAAAAGAAATAAATTGGCTGTCAGTTCAGAATTATGTTCAGTACATGACTGATATTTATTTATAAAATAAAAATGACAGTAACATCGCATCAGATCTATTAGAAAAAATTCAATATAATTCGCTATATCACAACTATAATACAAGAAGCCAATCTGGTTTAAAAAATTTAATAGACTGCCTACAGAAATCAATAAATGTATTCAAAAGTAACCTCAAACAATACTTGATAAATAAACAAAACGGATATACTTTCTTGTGATAATACTCTTTAAACCTGTCCTATTTCCCTTAATTTATTGTTATTTTACCCCTCGTTTTATCCGCATTTATTATAGATTATTTCTTTTGAGATCATGTACGTTATTTTCAAAAATTACTTGATGTTACATTATTACTACTTACTATGTTTAAATTATTAATAATTTTGTGACCATAGGTTATAGCAACTTATAGATACAAAACTATTTTTGTGTTAAAAGGTCTTTTCCTTTGCATCGAAAGTGTAGCACTGAGCTACGTCACTTCTGAAAATATTGTTCCATCTATACAATTTGTATATATGGAACGATATTTTCAGAATTGGTGTAGCCCAGTGCTACACTTTCGATGCAAAGGAAAAGACCTATTGTAGATCCATAGAGAGCAATGTAACTTAACTTCTTTCAACATACAAATAAATGACAACTTTATAATTAAAATGAAAAACACAACAAAATACCCTCGGTATCATAATTGATCCAAATTTGAAATGGGCATTATATCCTACCTCTTTTATATAATAAAAAAGTACTTTTTATAGATTATATTATCTGTCATTTATGGAAAGCCTGAATTGAGATACACTACAAATTATTTGCAATAAATATCAAAAGACGTATACATTTTTAAATAATTTGACATTTAAGAGCCATTCACATATCTTCTTCTTCTTCTTCTTCAATTCAATTTTTATAGGCGTCAGCTGCCAGGGCTATTCGGCCTAGGGTAATTGTATTGGAGTTTTCTGTAGTATAGGTGGATATTTTAAAGGAATTTTGTTTTTTTGTCACAGGATGCACATCACACCATGTGACAATTTTGGTTTTCAGATAGAAAAAATTTTGACACAATATTCTTGCTTCTGATTAACTAAGCATATCAGATAATATTCACTTCTCGATGACTATTCTTGTGGAAGATTTTTACGGAGACATTCACACTTGGCTCCCGACACTGACACCGCCATTCCAATGTTGATACCACGGTGTCAGGATCGGAAGTGCATTCACATATCACAGTTGACATCTTGATACTTGACAGGCACAGCCAAGCATTATTCTGATTTTGGCCAAATAAAATGTCCGGTTAATTATTCTATGGGGTTGCGACAGAGAACTAGTAAATTTGATGAATGTGTTTTTGTGGCTAGGGGCGAAATAGTAGAACGGCACCACCACGGCATAATAAACAATCGGCAGGCTAACTTGTCTTGGCGGCAACGCTACGCGCACATCTACGCGCACCCCGCCATTTTGGGGTCCAACCTCTCAATCAAGCCAGTGGCGTCACTGTCGTCGTTTATATCGACAAAAACAAACAAGTTGCAGTAGCACGGAATCAGTAGCGTGTATCTTAAATTTATTTTGTTTGTGATGTTTGTACCCAGATAGCACAAATACGTCCTATGGACGTTCTAAAAACGTCCTGCTTGGACATTCAGGACATCCTTAAAACGTCCATTTCACGGACGTGGACGTCTTATGGACGTATTTGGAACGTCCATTGTTAATAATCAGGATGTCTTAAGAACGTCCATTTAAGGACATTACATGGACATTTTAAAAAGCTCAAATGGAAAATAACAGAATATAAGGAAATTAGTGAAAATAATGAATAATTTTAAAAAAATTTATTTGGAAGCAAATAACCTATAAATAGTGAAATTATTAAAACTTTTTCGTCAAATTCATCCCATCTCTCCTCTACTTTGCTCTTTTCAACCATGCCTGGATTGAGAGCAGTTGTTTTTTTTTTCTTGATTTGGCCATATTTGCCTTCTCAGTTGAACCTGAAAATTAATTAATCGCTTAGTCAAAATTCAGATCAATGTGAAAATCGAATCTGTTTATTTAAGTTTGCATTGCTAGACATTATGAATTCACTAACCTTTTAGCTTTGTAGTATTCACTGGAAAACTCCTATACCTACTTTGCTCTTTTCAACCATGCCTGGATTGACAGCAGTCAGTTTTTATCTTGATTTGGCCATATGTGCTTTCTCAACTGAATCTGAAAATAATTTAATCGCTTATTCAAAATAAAAGGCATCAAAATTGAAATCCAATCTGTTGTTTAAGTTTGACTTGCTAGACATTATAAATTCACTAACCTGTTAGCTTTGGAAAACTTCCACCTTTCTCAGATATAAAAATGGTACAAATGGCGGAATGATAGAACTTGTACTCGTATAATATGTATATATACCATCGAATCATGAACATTGAACACTTTTTTTCTTTTTTTTTAATGAAACCTGAGCCCTGAGAATACTTCACTTCCCTCAGTGCTTGAATCTAAATCATATCTAAATAAATAAAAAGTCACTTGCCAACAATGTCTTCTTCTTCTTTTTTCTTTATGGGCTTAGTTTGCACTATCTACCCAGTGTTTCGTTTATTGTTTTTTGGTTGTCTTCATAAGGAAACTGCAAGGTTTGCGTCTGGCTCTTGGACCATCGTTTCCTTACTATTTGTTTTTGTCCTGTAATTTATAATTGTATATTGCTTTTACTTAAAAACTCGTTTATTATTGTGACAGTTAAGGAATTGGGATTGCTAAGGTAGTCTATTAAGCAAAGCGGAGCATGCATGGGAAGTCTTGTGCTAATTATTTTGTTATAAAGCGTGTTGATGTTATGCAAGTTATTTTTGCATTCAAAGAAAATATGGTGTAGTGAACCTGTTTGTCCGCATTGGCAGAAGGGGGTCTCCAGTTGTCCTATTCTGTATAAGTGGGTTGGTGTCCAGCAGTGTCCTATTCTGCATCTGCATATTGTTGTGATTTCCTTCCTCGTTAGGTTTGTGTGGTAGAACCATGGTTTGCTTGGTAACTTAGGTATTAATTTGTGTAAATGTTGTCCTTTTGTTGTACATATCTCATTCCATTCCTCTTCCCAGTTTTCCCATATTTTTTTTTTAACTCTAGGTAGTAAGTCTCTGTAATCTATTTCATTTATATCTATTACGTCTTTTAGTCTGCCCAGTTTTGCTAATTTATCTGCTATTTCATTCCCTTTAATGTTAGTGTGACTTGGGGTCCATGTCCAATAAATCTTTGTACCATTAATTGTTGCAGTGTCTACTAATTTCTTGATTTCTATTACTGTCTTATCTGTCTTGGCATTTATTCCTATTCTATTTATTCTTTCTATTGCACTTTTAGAGTCTGAGCAGATTACTGCTTCTGTGATTTCGGAATTCATTATTTTCCTACAAGCTACTTCTATGGCTTTTATCTCTGCCGAGCATATATTTGTGTTATTATTTAGTCTAAAAGCTGCATTATAGTTCAAAAAAGGTATGTGTACACCTATCCCAGTTGTTTTGGTGGTAAGATCTACTGAACCGTCCGTGTAAGCTTTAACTAAGTTAGGATGTTGATCAGTAATTTTTGTTGTAAAGTAAAGAGAGTTGTCTAATTCAGACTTCTCAATGTCAGTTTTAATCGTTTTTATCATGTTGTGTTGTATGTTGTATTTATATGTAAAGCATGGTAAATTAGGAAGTTTGTCAATGTCTGGATAATAAGGTAGGACCATGTCCAATGCTTCGATAATAGGGAAATCCGTTGACGTGGTGTTAAATTGGTTGTAAATAGCATAAACATTTATTAAATTTTTTGTTATATGACTGTCTGTTAATGCTAGATTTTTTAGGATAGCTTTTGCTGCTAAGTATATCCTTCTCCATCTTAAAGGTAATTCAGCCGATTCCGCAAGCAAAGAGGGGATTGGTGAGCTTTTCATGGCTCCTATTATTATTCTCAATCCTTGATACTGGATTTTATCTAGTTTTGTTAAATTTTGTTTAGATGTTTGAAAATAGAGTATTGACCCAAAATCAAGGTGAGATTGGACCAATCCTCCATATATCATTTTAAGTGTCTTAGGGTCTGATCCCCATTTGGTACCTGTTATTGATCTCATTATGTTCAATCCCTTCTTCGCTTTGTCAGTCATATTTGTTATGTGAGTATTCATTTTTAATTTGGAATCTATTGTTACCCCCAAGTATTTAGTTTCCTCTTTTCTATTAATATTGATGTTGTTTATTTTTATTGCAGGAATGGTTTGTTTGATTTTAAGTTTGCTGAATATAACAAAGGAAGATTTGCCTGGTGATATCGACAGTTTGTTATAGTTTAGCCATGTTGAGATGTGACGCAAGTTAGAATTTATTAAGTGTATCA